CTGGTCACCAGGGTGACGGCCTCCTGTACCTACGAGGGCGAGAATACTGTGCTCTACCTTCAGGTGGCCAGGTGAGGCCCTGCTGACCCAGGCCTCTGCCTGACCCTTGGGGACCCATCCAGCTTCTGCTTGGGTTGAGTCTCAGTCTGAGGCCCAAAGAGGGAGCAGGCTTTAGGGAGCACTGTTTTGGAACTGTCCAACTACCATCCACGTCTCCCCCGCCCACTGCTGCTCCCGGCCAGGCCGCCTTCGCCTCTCGCCTGCGCAACACCATCAGTCTCCTCACTGTCTCCACTTCACCCTGCCCCACCTCAGTCCTTTCTCCACAGGCAGCCAGGGGATCTTGTCAGAGCTTAGAAAAGATCACGATTACATTCCTCGGTGGCTTCCCATTCCTCCTAGGAAAAAGCTACCCTCCACACGGGCCTACAAGGTCCTTGTGGCCTGGCCCTGCCTCCATCCCTATCCTACTCCCTACCCTCCCGCTTCTGCTCACGTCTTCCAGCCACACACTTCTTTCCCACCACAGGGCCTTTGCACTTGCTGTTCATGCCACCTAGAACTCAACTCCCCCAAGTTATTGTATTGCTGGCTTCTTCTCCTCCTCCAGGTCTCAGCTAAAATGACACCTCCTCAGAGATGCCTTCCCTGACCGCTCCATCTGACGTGTCACCACCCCAACCCTTCTGCCCAACATTGCCTTATTTCCTTTGGAGCCGTTATCACAGTCAGTAGTGGTCCCATTTGTTGGTTTGTCTGTTTAACTTTTTAGACTGCTCCCCCACTAGACAGGTCCCTCCTGAAGAGCAGGGACTGCCTCAGCCTTGCTCACTGCACTATCCGCCAGGCTGAGGCCAGGGCCTGCCCGCAGGAGGCTCCCACCTGACAGGCAGGACGAACGGCCAGGTCAGCCTCCTCCAAACAGGTGGTCTCTTCTCATCCTTCTTGTGTCTGTGGGCCTCGTGGCCGACAAAGCTTCCACTCACCCCAGCTCACCTATTCTCAGGTGGCTTAACAGGACAAGTGTTTCCCCACGTGGGGACAAGGGAATTTGCTGACAAGCACATTATACAACATGTATTGGTTTTTTTTTTATTATGAAAGGGACACACCGTCATTTACTGGGCCCTCTGCCAAGCACTTCACAAACATTATCTTGTTCAGTTCTCACAAGCTCTCTACCGGGCGGGTGCTACCAGCCCCATTCGGAGATGCAGAAAGAGGCTTAGGGAGGGGCAGCCACTTGGACAGAGCTGCATCGGGATCCAGGCTGTCTG